TGATAATCATTTACAAATTGTTCTTACATCTGAGAGCCTTATTCTCAGCAAAGAAACAGTGTTCATGATGGAGTCCAGTGAACTTAGATTCATCATGTAGTCTAAAATAACAAAGCCCAGGGCTGATGTCACAGGTGCACTTCTTAACAGTGAGAAAAAACTTCATGCTACTACTTTCCTTTAATAATCCAGGGAGGTTGTTTCCAGGTTGAAGTAGTCTTTGTTACTTCCTTTAATAATTCAGGGAGATGAGGGAAAATTCTGTCTGATTATCAATGTGTAACTACTCTAGAAGCTTTCTAACAAGAATGACTGTACCTGATAGCTCTGCTTACCCAGATAACTCCTCTACCCTCCCCCTTTGCCAATGACACATGGAATGCCAACTTCAACCATGTGCTCCATGGCTGTTAGCAGTCAGTAAGCTTTTGTTATGAATTTACTGAAGATGCATCCTTTGAATATACCACCAACCATTTCAGTGATAAATTTCAGATTTGTACTTTGTAAAAAAAATATTTATATTGGTGACTGCCAGTATAACATTTGTTTCCTTTGCAGTGTCTTTGTAAGTTTTTACTTCATTGATATTTGGAACATTAAACTTTTTTTGAATAGTTTAATTTTGTGTGTGTGAGTGTTTTGTCTGTATGTGTCTGAGTGCACCCAGTGTACAATGCCCGTGGAGGCCAGAAAAGAGTGCCAGATCCCCTAGAACTGCAGTTATGAATGCCTGCTAGCCACCATGTAGGTGCTGCAAACTGAACCCAGGTCCTCTGAAAGAGCAGTCAGTGCTCTTAACTACTGAATCATCTCTCTGGCTCCTGGAGCTTAAAAAAAAAAGAATGGATTAGTCTCTGCACCCTAGAGTGATATATCGTTTTCCAGCAAATTCAAATACAGGCTGAAGGCCTTTGTAAATTGGTTCATCTAATTTTCTTGACCTAGTAGCTCACTTATAGTGTACAAAAATGGAAGATGTCCAGAACATTTAGTTTCTGTGCCTGCCTTGGTTAGCTCCCCTACCCTACCCCAGTGCATGGTAAAATCCAAGTACAGAAGAACTGAGAAATGAAAAATCAGCTAGAATTAGAGACAGTTGTCTCCAACAAACATTGACTGGGAAGCTACAGTCACTCTGCAAAAAGAGGCACGTTGTGCACTCCTCTGCTGGACGTAAGTCCATTTTGCAAGAAAGGTCAGACTCAAATCGCTGATCATCACTTACCCAAAATTTCGAACCATGGAATTGTGACCATTTCTAAGCGTTGCATTGTTCAACAAGATCCTCAGGTTAAACAGCATCTTCTTCTGTTAATGCAACAGATGTTTCTATGCTCTGGAGAGTTCCACGGCAAGTCAGGTAGTGGGGGCCACTAAGAAGGTAAGAATGCTTTCAGTTGCACAAAGGGAGCAAAAGTCCTACTACCCTTTAACTACCTTATCAAATCACCCTGAGTTAGAGATAGAGAAGGGCAGGGTACAAGGGTACTTGAACTTTAAGCCTAACTCCAGTGTTTTTGTTTAAAAAGGATCCTAACTCTTTCATTACGAACCCTCTTCGTTTTTTGTAATGTACTTATGCTGTCACACACAGATAAAATTAGTTGAAAAGTATCCATTGAGCATTTAATAGATGCAAGGGACTGTAGTGCTAGCTGCTGTGAAAGTACGGAGAAATAACTCATTCAGAAAATGTGAACTGGCAACACAAAACCCAGGTGGCGATGTGACAGCCCTGAGAGTCTACAGATTTCACTTTCCTGCCATGCAGCCCCAACCCTTGCACATAAACAAAGAGAAGCTGGTGGGGTGGAAGTTGGGTTTCAGTGGCAAGCAGCTAAGGAGGTATAGAAGTATAATTAAAAAAAGGATCGTTCCTGGGCATTCCTTACATCTTGCACATAATAGGTCTTTAATAAGCAAGTAGTCACTTATTGATTCTGGTATGAGTCTACATTCTGTACAAGGAACTCCCCAAGCAACTTATCCAGATCACTAAGATCTACTGCTTCATAGTCATTCATTTACCCACAACCAGAAATTCCCTGGTTTCAAAGGCTATACCGTGTCAGACACTGGGGTTGACTGGAATTAAAAAAAAAAGAAATAATCTCCTTTTGCATAGCTTACATTTCAATGTAAGGATGATAGCACTTGTAAAGAATATTCATAATGCAAGCCTATAGGACAGGTCCAGATTAAGTTGTCCTGAAACAGTAAGAAGAAGTAAAACTTTAAGTCCCAAAGGTAGGAGAGAGAAGGGGAGAAAACAGGGCCAACTTTTGTCAATTTATATGGCTTAACAAATCCTGGTGCTAGAAGTCTGTAGGATACTACAAATAAGTAGTATTTAAAAGCCAGCAATGGCAACGTCATGAACAGAGATGATTATGATGTCATAATTAATATTACAAAGGAAATAAATCTTGACACTCTTTCCTCTTGCATTTGGAGGTAGAATGAATGATGCCTCAAACTTCTGCTAAATCTTCTGTTCTGGAAAGAATATTCCAGGCAGAAGCAAGAGTTTATAAAGGCACAGGAAAGAGAAAGTACAGAGTAGGTGTGCCAAGTAGGAGAGCAGATGACTGATTGCTTGAAAAGATGGAAAAGCAGGACTAGAGAGATAGCTCAGAAGTTAAGAGCACTGGCTGTTCTTGCAGAAGACCTGGGTTCAAATCCCAGCACCCATATGGTGGCTAACAACTGTCCTTAACTCCAGTTCCAAGGGATCCAACACCGTCTTCTGACCTCTGCGGGCATTGCACAGCATGGATGCACCTACCTATATGCAGGCAATACACTCATACACATTAAATAAAAATAATAAATAAAAGAAAGAAAGATGGAAAAGCATCTTTGAAATGCAAAGACAGGGTCAGTTGTTAGGCAGGTTTCAGGGAGTGAAATTGCTCACATACTGCAGAGAGGGAAAGTATCTATTTGCATAGAGTCTGAAGAGTGCATGGGAATTCACAGCTTCATCTCATGCCTTCAGCAAATTGTGCTGCCTGGGCAAACAAATCATATGAACAATACTTGGGTAAAAGCCAAGAAGCATTTGTAGTTTTATGCTAGAGAATGTAGGCTGCACGCCAGAGATCCCAAAGTAACTCCCAAGACCTCCTGATTCTAAGGACATAGAAGTCCAAAGCCAGAGAGGCCTAAGACAAACTGAAGACACCCATAGAGACTGGGTTAGAGGGGCTGCACCATAATGGGGACCATATCAAAGGCAATTTTGCTGAATTCAAAAGGCAAGATATTTCAGTGGGCTTGTTAGGAGGTACATTTCAAGTAGCCCACTTAATGCTGATAGAATCATATGTGGAGCTTTTTACCTTAAAGGCTTTCATGTTTGCAATAGTTACTTGTGTCATGTTGACATAAAATACCCCACCAAGACAACTAAGGGAAGAGCAATATCATGGATATATTCTGTCTTGGTGAAGACAATATGGTAATGGAATCAGGAAGCAACTGGTCACATTCCATCTGCAGTCAGGACACAGAAAAGGATGTGAATGTTGGTGCACATAAACTCGAACCTATGGAATGGTATTGCCATATTTAAGGTGGGTCTCACCGCTCCTAATCTAGAAATTTCTTCACTGACATGCCAAGAGATTTATTTCTATGGTGATTCTAAGTCCCATACGTTGATAATCAAGACCAACTATCACAATATTCATCCTCAGAAATCTTCCAAGTAAGCTTGTTGATCCTTCATAATTTCTCTAATTCAGCATCAACTGCCCTTTTTTGGCTCCCCACCTTCCCATTGTTCACCTAGACATTCATTCATTCATTCATTCATTTCATTCATTCATTTCTGCCAACAAACATAGTTGTACTAGATCTCTGTCCCAGGTGGGCTCTGACAAACAGTGACAAACAGGAGGGATGAGTCCCTTTCCATATGGACTTCATCATTTGGAATAACGTAAGAATATAACTTCAGCCTGTGTACTTTGACCCCATATATCCTAACCAAGAGAGAGATGCTTATTACCTATTTGTTTGTTCCAGGGCACATGAGACACCCACTTCCCCAGCTTGGACTGACCACCAGGTGGTTGTAGATGGGATTCATGAAAGCGGTGGTATTGGTCTTTGTTGAGTTGAAAGAATTGTTTTTTTCTAAAACAGGATCTGCGAGGATCTTATAGCAATGGGAGGAAATTGAAAGTAGACTCAAAGGAAGGAATAGTGGCAATGTGTAAGGTAATCACAAATGATGACAACTAGAAGGATGGATATACCCCACCTGCTAACCATGTAAGTGAAGCTCTCCCACCACCATGCATCCCATGAAAATCAAAGCCATGAATTTATGTGTCTGTATCTACTCACTTGATGTCCCCACACCCACTCACACACATACATGCTACTTTTTTTGTAATTCAGTATTTTCTTTAATAGTAATACATGTATGTAATGTGTTTGGATCCAATTCACCCCCATCCCTTCACTTCCAATTCTTGCTCTATCCCCTCCCCCATTGTCCTCCAATTTCATATGCTCTCTTTTGTTTATATATTTAATACCCATTGAGTTTATTTAGTGTTGCCTGTGTGTACAGGCATGGGTACATTCTATTGGAGAAGGAGTAGCCTCTCAGGGCCTGCATCCATGAAGAGTACTGACTGTCCCTCTTCCAGTAGCCATCATTTGCCAATAGCTCCTCCCATAGGAGTAAAGCTTCATGAGCCCCTTCCCTTCCATCCTGGATTTTGGCTGACTTGATCTTGTGCAAGTTTTGTGCATGCAGACCCTGCTGTAGTGAATCCATATGTGCAAATGTTCTGTCAGGTTTGGCAAATCCTATTTCATGGCAGACATTCACATCCTACAGCTCTTAAAATCATTTTATCCCCCTCTCACTATGATCCCTGAGCCATGGGAAGATGACGTATGGTATTCAAGCTTTCTACTTGAGAATAAATTCCTCATTTTCCACTCCCTTTGTGTGGGCAACAATGAAGTATGTTCAATAAATGCTCCTTAAAGGTCTTCGCTGAATTCACTTTAATTGCTTATATAGTAACTCTCCCATCAGTATATCCAGTATTAGTGACTTTCCCTTTGTCTCACTTTCTTCTTTACCCTGCCACTGCTTCCTAAGATCTCTTTCTCGGTGTCTGCTCCTTGGGGGGAACTCAGTCTTTTCACAGGTCTACCTTTCCAAGATTTTTTTCAACTTCTGTTGTTTTCCTCTACACCTTCCCATCTTTGACTTTCTTGTTTTCAGTGTCAACATCTTGGTCTACCATGCCTATCACACTCTGTGAAGTTTAATATCAGTTGGTTTGAAATTACTGGTATACTGGGGCATGCTTAATAACTAGCTCTTTAAAAATAAAAAGGCTTTGATTTGTAGCATTATCTTATTTGTGTGGTATAAATACTGCCATGACAGCCACCTTCAAGCTATGACTATGACATCACTAAACACAGAGTTGGGAAATGTTGAGTGGAAAACTGGCTCTTGCAAGCAGCTGTGAGCTGGCACTAGTATACTACTGCTTACAACCAGCTCCCACCCAGAAAGAAGGATTGTCTAAAGGTTTGGAAGGCAATACTGAAGCCAGAATGTCAAGGACCTTGAGAACCAGATGATGGAGTTAAGAATTTAAACTGTAGAGACCTCGAGAGAGTGCCTGTTCCCTCCTCCCTCTGGCATAGGGCCTGAGAACTTAGGGGACTGCCTGAGAGTGCCTGGATCCTGCCTCCACATGTGGTAAGCTTCCCTGAATTGTGTCATACCCAACCCCCTAACTGGGATTGTCTGAGGGCCCTCTCCAGGGCAGACCTGGCTTTGGTAGGATAAGGCTGAGATCTTAGGAGACAGCCTGAGAGGGTGGATTCCGACCTCCATCCGTGTAGCAGCTGGGATCTCAGCAGACCACCAGAGAGTGCTTGTTCTGGCCTCCCTCTGGCATAGGGGCTGAGAACTCAGGGGACTGCCTGAGAGTCCCAAAATTAGCTCCCCCTTAGGGATCTTCCCAAATCTGCTCTGAGTTCCCACTAGTAGGGGTCCAAACCTTAGAAGGAAGCCTGAGTGTACCTGACTGGAACCTGACTTGGGCTTCTGTAAGTGCTCCTGAGTAGCTGATCTGAAGCAATCAGTTCCCTCCAAAATAAAACCTGAGAGAACCTGAAACCTGGACCAACCAGCTTTATATAACCAATAAGAAAAGAACCAAGGCACATCAATAATTCAAACAGAGCATGTTTCAACTTAATTCTCCTATCAGAATCACAAACAACAAAAGAAATTCACATGCCAAAATCACAAGGAAAGAATAATAAAATGGAAAGCCAAAACACTATGTCCCAGCAAACTCCACCAGTCCTATAGAAGAGTTCTACAAGGAGAACCCCCTACAGACAATCCACAATACAGAATTTAAAAGAACAATCATAAACATAATCAAGGAATTCAACGAATTCAAAGAACATACAAACAAACAAATCAAAGAACTAAAAGAAGATACAGATAAACTTCTGAATGAATTCACAAAAGAAACAGAAGCACTGAAGAAAACTCAGGCAGAAATGAAGAAGGAAGTGCAAAACTCAATAAGCCAACTTGAAACAACAGGGGAAAGCCTCACCACTAGAATGAATGCAATAGAAAACAGAATATCAACAGTGGAGGATAAAGTTTAAGAATTAGACCACTCAAACAAAGATTATGAAAAATTAAAAAAAAAACAAGAATGGAATATGCAAGAGATGTGGAACACCATGAAAAGACCAAATCTACATATCATAGGCATAGAGGAAGGAGAAGAATTTCAGGTTAATGGTCTTGACCAGATATTAAACAGGATTGTAGAAGAGAATTTCCCAAAATTAAGGAAAAACATCCCCGTACAAATACAGGAAGCACATAGAACACCAAATAGACAGGATCAGAAAAGAAACTCCCCACAACATATCGTAGTAAAAACACAAAATGTACAGAACAAAGAGAGAATACTGAAAGCAGCAAAAGAAAAACAACAAGTCACATACAAAGGAAAGCCCATCAGAATTACAGCAGACTTATCAATACAAATTATGAAAGCCAGAAGATCCTGGACCAAGGTATTTCCAGTTCTACATGACAATAGACGCAAGCCCAGAATACTCTACCCATCAAAAATGTCTATTATAGTTGAGAGGGAAAGAAAAATTTTCCATGACATGAATAGCCTGAAAGAATACATGTCCACAAAACCAGACTTTCAAAGAATACTTCAAGCAATACAGAGAGAGAAACAATTACATCCCAGGGCAACAAAAGAAAATAAAGGTATAATTGAGGAAACACAAAATTAGACAGAGAACACAAACTGCAATCAAAATGACGGCAACCCATACACATCTTTCAATAATAACAAATATCAATGGACTGAACTTCCTGGTTAAAAGACACAGGCTAAGTGAAGGGATTAAGAAACAAAATCCATCTCTTTGCTGTCTGCAAGAAACACATCTTACCTTCAAGGACAAGAACGACCTTAAGGTAAAAGGATGAAAAGGAGTATTCCAAGCAAACGGCACCAAGAAACAAGCAGGTGTTGCAATTCTAATATCTGAAAAAATATACTTCAAGGTAAAACTAATCAGAAGAGATAAGGAGGGTCACTTCATTCAGATAAAAGGAACAATTAACCAAGAAGATATTACAATCCTTAACATATATACACCAAACTCTTGTGCACCAAAATTCATAAAAACAACACTACAGGGCTTTAAGACACAGGTTAACCCCAACTCAGTAATAGTAGGGGATTCCAATACCCCACTGTCTCCATTAGACAGGTCAACTGGACAAAGAATAAACAGAGAGATGTCTGAATTAAATGATACCATACATCAAATGGACCTAACAGACATCTTTTGAATATTCCACCCAAGCACCAAAGAATACATTTTCTATTCAGCAGCCCAAGGAACTTTTTAAAAAATTGACCACATACTGGGCCACAAAACAATCTGAAACAAATACAAAAAAATTGAAATAATTCCATGCATTCTATTGGACCACAATGCAATAAAGCTCAAAATCAACACTGGACAAAGCATGGAAGAAGCCAGAGTGGTCTGTGTCCCGATTCCCTATCCACAAGCTGGGTAACCTCTTCAGAGGATGGTGTGATAAGAACAAGAGGTAGGAATTAGCTAGGCAGTTAGGGCAAAAAGGTCCCAAAGAAAAGTAGCCAGTTTCTTGGCTAAAAGTCAAAATGTCCTTGGGCCTATTAGCAATGTACTCTGTTCCAAGGCTAAAAATGCCAAAAGTATTTGGGAGCTCCTATCTAATCCTTAAAAGATTTTAGGGTTACCTCTTCAGAGGGGAGAATGTTAGAGTAGCAAAAAGCCCCATAAAAAAGAAGAAAGAGTACATGAAGTTATCAGAAAAAAAAATTGATGGGGAGGTATGGGAGGAGTTGGAGGGGAGGGAGTGGACATGTATTTGATCAAAAAACCTTATATGCTTATATGCCTGTATGAAATTCTCAATTATTTTTAAAGAAGGAAAAAAAAAGAATTTACACTGTAGTCAAGGAAAGATTGTTAAAGGTTTCAAGCTGGGATAGATATATGTCATCATCTTAATTGTCAATTGAAAACATCAATTTGGTGCTAACCTGTAAGACATGTAGTATTGAGAAAAATGGGGGCAGAAAGATAGAGTTTATGGTTGGGTAATAAGGACCTGAACATATACTAGGGGTTTAGAAATAAATAAAAAATTAGACATGAATGAGGCACAGATTTAGAAATTAGAATCTATCTATGAGGAAAGTGATCAAATAATAAGGGAGGGAATATTGAGAAGTTAATTAGATGTCAAGCTTTCAAACTTTTAATATAATGGTAGAATATAAAATTTCAAATTGCCAAATGTCAGCACTGAGCAAATAAATAACGGTCATTTTCTGACATTTTCAGCTAAGAAGCATCAGGAAAGAATGTGAGATACATCTGTGAAATTGCCACCATGATTTCCCTAGTCAAATCTCAGCAATGAAAAAGGAATCAAGGTGATATAATGGGAAAAATGAAGAGAATGATGTTACAAGATCAAATGTGACCTTGGGCTTAGTTAACATTGATGGTGAGTTTTGTTCTGTCACTTGAGACCCTTGGAGTCCTCATCTTTCCTGCAAGTATTTTTATAAACTGACCAGTTGCATTGCTTTGGGAAAGATTAACATACTAGTCAAACATGAGACAGAGTATCTAATAACCTAATGTAGCTATTACCAAAAAATCTACAAATTTGAGCTCTGTAGAAATAAGATATATTAGCTGTTACTGCAGTGAGAACTTCTAATTTATTTAGTAACAAATTGCATGAATCATTTTTATAGCTTATTTCCTGGAATCTTTAAGATTCTTAGAAATCAGAGTTGAGAGATGGCTCATTAGTTAAGAGTGCTTCCTGTTCTTCCAGAAGACCTGAGTTCATTTCCCAGCACTCACATCAGGTGGTTCACAACTGCCTTTAAACCCAGTTCCAAGATATCTGATGCCCCCTTCTGGCCTCTGCAGGAACCTGCACACACAGGACATATACTCACACAAACACATACACATATTCATAAATAAAAATAAATCTTTAAAGATTCTTAGAAATTATAGCATTCTTTGAAATCTTGCATGTTTTGTGAAAAATGTTTCAGATATTCTATCTTATACTGGACAAGAAGAGAAGAGGTTAATATTGCTCTCTGAGACCAGCATACATCCTGGGAACATGAAGGGAGGCAAGTTCAGAGTGAAGATGTGATTGGCAGAGTCATAGAAGGAGGAAATGAATCTTAGTCATTTGTGACATTATTAAATTTGAAAATCAACCAACCTCACGAACACTGAACACCTTACTATGTGAAATAATAAATGGCCTTACTGTTATAATCAGTCTGGAATTGGAACTTTTGACTTCTCTACTGATAGCCAAATGTCAATAACACCAAAACTACTTTAGTGCTTAAAAATTTATTTCTCATGTAACAATAGATAAATACAATATCCTTGAAAAAGGTGTGGGTTCTAGTTCAGAGCCTATTTTTTATTGGTTGAATAACCTTGAGCAAGTAAGTTTCCTCAATCACAAACGTAAAAAATTCTTACTTTTTCCTTTTATGCTAAATGAATATGACATTTTTAAAAGGATTGGTTTATTGTTTTAATGATGTGTGTGTGTGTGTGTGTGTGTGTGTGCACATGAATCCAGGTGCCTGTTAAGGTCAGAAGAGGGCATTAGGCCCTGTGGAGTAAAAGTTACAGGCAGTTGTGAGCCATCCAACCTGGGTGCTGGGAACCAAACTTGGGTCCTCTGTAAAAACAGTACATGCTCTTAACTGCCGAATCAACTTCCAGCCTGATGTATTTTATTATTGATTAAAACTGCAAATTAGTATTTCATGAATTTAACTTTGTTGTGTTTACAATTGTATGAGTTGTGTGGATTGAGTACCTACCACTATGATCAGCATGGAGAAGAGATCTATCAATAGAAAACTTTCATTCAAATTAACATATATCACATTCTCTTCTGCCCCAAATCTTGCAATACTACTCTTTTCCTTCTTCCCTATAGTTATGCCTTTTCCTTAGTATAACAGAAACGGAACCATACAGTATAGAATCTCTTGAGACAGGCTTCTTTCACTCAGCCTAATGTCTTTGAGAGTTATCCATATTTCTGTATATATCGACTTCTTTGTTGTTTTTGTTATCAAGTAGTATCTCATTGTATGGATATAACAGTTTGTTTCCCCATTCCTCCACTAAAGAATATTTTGTTTATCATCTCTTTTTAAAGAGATGCATTGCCTGAATATATGTAAATGCAACCATGTCATGCAGAGCCATTGGACATCAGAAGAGGGCACTGGATCCCCTGGAACTGGAATTATGGACAGCTTTTAAATGCCATGTGGGTGCTGGGAACTGTACCCAGGTACTCTGCAAGAGCTCTTAACCACTGACCTATCTCTCCAGCCCCGTGGTTTATCATTGTTTGTTTACAGAGTTTGTCAATACATAGCCTACAAATGTGTATATTTTTGTAAGAATGTAAATATTATTTTTCTAAATTAATTATGTACATGCAGAACGGCTGGATCACACAGTAAACATTGGTTTAGCTTTTGAAGACACTGTCACAGTGTTTTCCACAATGGCCATATGATTTTTGCAATACCAACAGGAATATATAAAAGGTCTAGTTACTCCACATTGGTGGTGGTTTGAATGAGAATGTTCACCAAAGGCTCCAAGTATTTGAACATTTATTCCTTGGTTAATGGTGCTGTTTGGGGAGGGTAATAAAACCTTTAGGAGTTATGGCTATGCTGGAGGAAGCACATCACTGGGGTCAGGCTTACACAGTACATAGCCATGCCCACTTTCAGTCTGGCTCTTTCTGCTTACTGTGCATGCATGAAAAATTGATCCCTTTGCTTTCTGCCCTGGTCACTTCCGATGCCATGCCTCCTCCTCCATTATAGGCTCTAACCTCCCTGGAATCATAAGCTAAACAAATGCTTCTTTCTATAAATTGCCTTGGTCATGGTGCCTTATCACAGCAATAGAATGGTAACTAATGCAACATCCTTGTAAACACTTGGCATTGTCTGTATTTTTCATTGTCACCCTCCCAATAGATGATAAATTGGCTTTTAATTTGCATTCCACTAAAGGCTAATGATGTTGAGACTCTTTTCCTGTGATTAGCTGTCATATGTATATTATCCTCTAGTGAAATGTGGGTAAAATCTTTTGCCTGTTTTTAAAAATTGAGCAGTTTATTTTCTTAAAATTACACACACACACACACACACACACACACACACACACACACACACACACACACACACACACACACACACACACACATAATTTGGTGTAAGACCTTTATTGGATGTAGTCTTTGAATTGTCTGGACAGCGCCTTTCACAAAACAAAATAATTTAATTTGTTCAAGTTGTTTGGCATCTTCTTTTAATGTGTTCTGCAAATGTTATATCCTTACATTTTACATTCAGATCCATGACTAATTCATTCTTGTTTTTCTCCAGAGTTTGAGGTTTGGCTAAGTTTTTTCCATACATGATGTCCAATTACTCTTTTGTGATGATCCATGTATGTCCTAGGTCATAACCAATGTGTCAAAGAATCCAGTAATTCTTTGTTTTTAATTTTATTTTTTGTTGATTTCTTTTGCTATTTTCATACAATATAGCTTCACAGTATTTAGATCCCCTCCCCAATCTGTACCTCCTCTCACTCCCCCCCCCACAATTTAATGTACATTCTTATATATGTAATATGGCCTAGAGAGTCTGATTTGTGTCCTCAAATGATCTTCAGTGTGGGTCTATCCACTGGGCCCACTAAGAGTCCCAGCCATATAAGACACTGGCTTTGCCCATCCCAGCAGTCATCGAGTGCCAAAAGTTCCTTAGTTTGGTTGGTATTTCTTACCAACTTCCCTATGTCGATACTGAGATTTTGTCTGGTTTGAGCTTTCCTAAAACTTGTGCACACTGTCACCATTGTTGTGAGTTCATATGGGTAACTAAACAGCTATCTGGAAGACTCTGTATTGTTGTTGTCATCCACCCCTCTGGCTCTTACAGTCTTTCCACCCACCTCATCTGCAATGATCCCTCAGCCTTGGAAGGCAGAGGTTTGAGATAGATGTCCTATTCAGGAATAAGCACTCTGCAACCTCTTGTCCTCTGTGTATTGACCAATTGTGGGTTTCTACGTCAATCACCATCTGCTTCATAAGGAAATTTCTATGCTGAGAGCTGAAAGATGCATTATCTGATGTGTACAGGTTGCTTTGAAGATGTGTCACTTATGGTTAAGCAACTCATAGACACTTATTCTCTGCATTTGACCAGTTCTGGAACACTGTAATCGTCTCCATTTGTTGCAAAAAGAAGTTTCTTTGATGAAGGGTGAAAGATACACTTGTCTGCAAATATGAGGATGCACATTTAGAATAAAGTAAGAAATTAGGTTGGTGTAGGGACGTGGCAAAGGTAGGTTTTTCTCTACGATCTATGACCTCTCTAGCTATGTGTATTTGGCTATGTTTACAATATCACATGAGTTCCCTTTCTTTGAACCCACCTTAATTCCAATTAGAGAGTCCTTGATCATCCCCAAGATCAAAGAGCCACTACTGCACTAGTAGCAATAGTTTGCAAATGTGGTACATTTTTATAATGACTAAAACAATGGTAAAGAAAAACAAAATCAGGAAAATTTCAGGTACATGGATGGAAGTAGAATCTGCTGTACTAAGTGAAGTAACACAGACTCAGAAAAACGAGTGACATATGTTCTCTCTCATTTGTGAATCTTAGCTTCAAATCCGTAGATGTGAGTCTATATCCTGATGTAACTGCAGGAGTCAGGAAATTGAAAGGAACCATAGGGATAAGGAGAAGAAGGAGCTCAAGAGAGGGGGATTGTAGGTGAGAGGTGTTATTAAAGGGGAAATGGAGAAAAGGGTAGGACACTTTAACTTCAGAAAGAGTAATGAGGTTTATACAGGGGGAGTGAGAATAGAGGTAAATAATTCTTAGATGGTATGAAAAACCAGAGGGAAATATATTAATTCAAATTCCTACTGAAAAATACACATACAATAAATAAAAGAGTGCATGTATATAGCCGAAGGCTATATAACAAAAAGCACAGTGCCAGGCAGGAGAAACCTCCCTTTGAGTTGTTGGTCAGGGTAGTCTAAGAGACCCTCAAAATAACAAAGGCTATTGTCACAGTCCTTGATTGCCTCCCAGAACTTGAAGGCAAGGCCCTATTGCTGAAAACAGGACATACTTCAGGCCTGGGGCAATTGCACTGGAACTGACCTGATAGCCTCCTCCCTGAAGACTAGCTCTCATGATATCATAGGAATATACAAGCTGTTGAGGAAGAAAACCAACCAATGGCTCTGCTCAGCTACAAGTCTAAAAATCAACAATGACTGGGCCCAGGAAAGAATTCAGCAATTCTTCATATTCTGGCAATGTTTCACAAGCTGTATCTGGCTTGGGTTTGCATGAGAACTGGCAATAGGAAATAAAATTGAATTGTGACAGTGAAAAAAATCAAATTACTCATAATCTTGTATTTTTCTTTCCATGTATAAATATGTCATCCAAGGAGCTCTCTGTGTATAGAAAAAAATCTGAAGATTACCTTTCAATTAACAGATAGTAATGGGACTTTAACTAAAATTATTGATTCAGGGGTGTTTTCTTCTGCGTCACTGCTAAGTATTTGTTCAAACAGGCAGAGTCTAGGGGAAATTGTGAAATCATAAAGATTATCTCTAGCCCTTTCCCTACTCTACCCTTTCAATTGAGGCATTTGAAGAAGTTAATCATTCTGATTCTGAACTGCGTGAAATGCTGGCCAACAATTTAATTGTAATATTTCCTCACTCCTCTAAAATATACACCTTATTACCATTGAAGTCATTCTCCTACAATCATTTACTCTGGGAATTCTTGATTTTGAGCAGAGGTCAGAATTTTCCAGAGTTTAGGTAGGAACAGAAAATCTCAAATGTTCACAATGAGTGCCTTTTATTTTGTGGTCTGGTATTTTAGAAAATCAGATTAAGAAATGCATAGCATAATTTTGTGATTGGAAAAGGGTTAATAAGTATGGTACCAGTGACAAATTTTATGGCAGAAGCAGATGACATTCAAAGGACCAGGTGTTTTTCAATCCTACCGTTTATTTGCTCAAGATCCCACTCAGAATCCTCCAGCCATCTCTTCCCCCATAGGCTGATTGCAATCCCACCCCTTAGAAGTGCAAAGGTCAAACTGTGCATAAAGGAGATTTATTAACATAGTAAAGGCTATCAGGCATTAAGCAAACAGTAAAACCACTGAGGTTTAAAGTTCATCAGTGTCTCAACAATAGTTCCCAATGCTCCCTGGAACTAACAGACACTTCCAAAGCCAGGGTAATGGAGGCCCTGTGAGAACCTCGGCACTGTTTCCTGTTGACAAGGGCTTGGTATAAAAGCACTGTTGGGGTAATAATTTCCATGATATTCTCTCCTAGAGCTCAGGACACATGTCCTTGAATGCCCTCAAAAACCACCCTTGGTGAATGCCTCTTTCCCAGTTCTAGATCTTGATGAAATCTATAATCATCTTTATGATTGATACATGTCTGTAGGCTCTACTTATTAAGTCTTCTTGTGCTGCCCTTGATTGTTTTAAAGCCATATCTGCTAAAGAAGTACAACACCTCACCTTAAACTACTGATGATATACAACCATCTTCGTAAGGCTGTTCCATGGTAACAACTCTGTGGCCTGTAAAATAGGACCTGCACAAGATCCAGAACCTAGACTTTATGAGAATCTTTTGTCTCCAATATTAAAGTTTGAATGGAACTTTGTTGAATATTTAGAAAGGTGGGTTGTTAGATATGGGCACTCTCCATCACTTGTTTCATTTCCCACATTTCTATTTCTTCAACTGGAGTTTAGTTGAACCATTTCTTTCTTAAGATTTATTTCATTTGTAAGTGTGTGTGTGTGTGTGTGTGTGTGTGTGTGTGTGTGTGTGTGTCCTGTGCAGTGTCTGCTGTGGACTCTAACTCAGGTCCTCTGCAAGAGCAGTATGTGCTCTCAACTGTTGAGCCATTACTCCAGGCCACTTAAACTGTTTCTTCTAGGGAATTAAGTAGTTTATGGATTACTAGGTCACCCTTGATTGTTCCCCAGTGTACTGCCCATTAAGGAATATTCATGTCATGTTGGAAGCAGTATAAGGTGAACTAGTCCAAAGCTTTGATAGTCAGTTACAGGTTGGAGACATTTTAATTGCATATAAATGATTCAGTCTCTCTAAACCTATAAGTACAGAAGTACTAGGACATGTGGTGATAGCCTACGTCTGTCCCAGTTGTAGGCTGGTTCTAGTCAATTTCCTAGTAATTCCTATCATCTATTCTTTGGACTTCTATTAAAAATGCCCTATCGAACCAAACTGCTGTCCTCTAAACTAATCAGGAATCACAAAGAAACAAATTCAGTGTTTCTCAGTGAAGATCTATAGGGAGGTGTCTTTTCTTTGTTCTTTCTTCTAATAAATGATGTGAAAACAAAGAACTTTGTTCTCTCTCCCTACATTAACTGCCTAACATTGCAAGTTTCTAATCTTTTATTGTTCTTACATAACCCTGACATGCTAGCCAACCTATCCCATTTGAGATGGAAATGAGATAAAGTAATTAATGATTGTAAAGTGCTTCAAAAATACAAAGCACTCTTTAAATTCTAAGGGTGTTTACTGCCTTCCAGTATAAAGCAGAAGTATAATAAAAATGGATCACAAAATCACTTCACTACTATGTCCATACCTCTACTTTTTTGGCCAAAATTTACAATTATATGCTCCTTATTCAAAGCAATGAGAGACATGAAAGCAATTCAGTTATTTTCTAAAGTAGGTTTTCCTCCAATCAGTTGAATAGAAAATGGCTCTGGAGATACCAACATTACAGTTTTCAAAGATCGGACGACAGTAATGCATCAAGATCACCTTCAGTTCCTGGTAATGTCACTGAGTTCCCTAACAACCCAGAGTCCTTTTCTGCAGTGAATATTTCTTTTTCAGGAATTTCAAATGCTGCTTAACTCAAAATGGGGCTATGTCCAGATAAATTCATGCATTCCATGTGCTTACTCCATCTAAACTGAAAATCATAGCTTCACAACATGGTACATTGTAAACTACTCACTGTTTTCCTTTCTGGTCCTCTGATTGACTGGAATGGAAACTGTGACTCCCTGTTGCTAATCAGCACACAAGATTTTCAGACTGCATAGTGCTAGAATGGAAAAAGTTCAAAATTTCAATTTTCCTTTTTGGTTTCTGTTGAATATACATCTCATTGTAAAGTTGTCGATCATGAGGCCAGTCATTGTAAGTGCAATACCATCTAGGTGTCATTCCCATGTGCTTTTCCTTATGACCATTGAATCCTATGCAGCAGGACCCCAGACAAGGAGGATAAATAATCCAGGCAACCATGCTTTAAGAAAGGGACAAAGGGTAAATATATTATTAACTTTAAAAGAAATTATCTGATCAACTTAAAGTAAAAGGTATTTGCGACTTATTGTGCTATAATTCCAAGTGGAGGAGGATTTTAAATATGCCAGATGTAACTACCATGCCTGAAAGCCCATCTAGTTCTTTATGTTTGAAGAAGCCTGGGGAATTTAGCAGAATTCCACAAATGATTATGATGTGCGGAAGCGTGTAAAGAATTGTGTTTTCATCGAAGGGCATGAAAACATCCTTCATTCACAACTCAGGGTTACATTAGAACCAAACTCATATATAAGTATTTTAAAATTCCGAAATTGACCAAATTTTTCAGAATACTCTGTGTTGTTTTGTGTCCTTCATTCTGACACTGTCTTTTGTGTTGGTAAAGTGATGCTGATCCCTGACATTGTTCTCTAACTTTATTAAGTGAATATAATTAAAAGTTATTTGCGTTCAATTATGTCCTTATCTGCTTGTTTGATTGTGCTTTCTCATTTCATCAATACTAATTTTACCTTCACTTAATCAAAGTGGTAAAATAATTAGATAGATAAGAGATTCAAAGTAAAACTGATGCATCAGCCTTGATAAGACCCTAAGGACTCCTGAAATAGCAACTTCCTTTATCGTTGTTCTTTAGATTCACCTTGATTTTTATATGCATTTTAAATTGATAGGGATGAGGTAGGTTATCAAGGGAACCATCAAATTCAATAAAAATGTCAAGAGGCAAGAAAGGTAATAATGCTTCAACATCTACTATTATAAAGAATTTCAGTAAATATATAGAATCTGGCATATGTAGATGTTTCAAATTCAATGAGAAACTGGGTTGAAAATGATCCCTTTCATGGTGGTTTGAATGAGAAGCCTCCACAGACTCCAAGTATTTGAATATGTGAATATGTGTCCCCAGTTGGTGGCACTGTTTGTGGAGGCTTAGGAGGTGTGCCCTTGCTAGAGGAAGCATGTCATGGGAGGGGGCAGAATTTGAGAGTTCATAGCTTTGCACTGCTTCCAGTTCTGCCTCTCTCTGCTTCCTGTGCCTGCTTGAAGATGTGAGCACTCAGCTTTCTGCTCCCACTGCCTCCTGCTATGCCTCCTTGCCATGATGGACTCTTACCCTTCTGGAACCATAAGCCCAATAAACTCCTACTATAAGTTGTCTTGGTCAGATTGTTTTATCACAGCAACAGAGAAGTAACAAACTTACTTTGCAACAACTCAAAAAGGAAGATCTTACATGGTGGATTTCTTAAACCCTTTGTATCAATTTTAAAAAAATATTGTTTTTATTTTATGCGTATGTGTATATTGCCTGCATGTGTGTAAGTTCACCTGTGCCATGTAATCCTCACAGAGGACAGAAGAAGGTGTCAGATCCCCTAGTACTGGAGTTATGGGCAGTTGGTAGCTGCCATGTGGGTGCTGGGTATTGAACCCGGGTCTTCTCCAAGAACAGCCAGTGCTCTTAACTTTCACTGAGCCATCTCTCTAGCCCCGGGTTTCTTAAACTCTTAATGTGAGCAAAGTACCTTCCATATTAGAGTTATATCTGCAATCATAAAGTGTTAGAAGATGGGCCTTGAATATCTTAATCCACTTCTCTCCTCAAGATGAATACCAAAGTACAGTGACACTCTCCAAAGTACAAAAATGGGGAGAAAGAGAGAAAGCAAGTATTAAAATGAGAAATAGGAAATAGCTTCTGTATTTTAATGAAAATTCATTATGGATTGAGAGAAAACGAGGAGTTTTCAGTACCTAGCATCAGAACCTTATGTCCAGTTCCCATTGAATGTCTTAGTGCAAAATTTTCTGTCCTTTCTCCATTCCCCATAAAGCCAGGTTATCAGCAGAGGAGACAGCAGATGCTCCCATGGAGGGCTTTGAATCTTGGAATGCTAAAGAAAAAAAGCCAGGGGGATGAGATTTATGGTGTTGTTAACAAGTAGTGCTAACTGTGTCAAGTTGCTTGCAGGGCTTACCTTGGTGACCAAGTCCAATGGTACCTGTAGACTAAACAGAGGCATCAACTATATCTCAGTCTCTTGGGGCTTCTTTCCCTAGTTTTCCTCTTTTACTTCTCTCCAGAGTTTCTGTTTCTGAGTTCCCAAATCTTTTCCCATTAAAACTTTTTTTTTCCCCAAGAAACCTGCCTGATCCAGAAATTGGCATCGTAGGGGACTGGAGAGATGGCTCAGCAGCTAAGAGCAGTGGCTGCCCTTGCACAGGACCCAGGTTCACTTCCCAGCACCCGCAAGGTGGCTAAAAACCATCCGTGGCTCCTGTTTCAGGGAATCTGATGCCCTCTTCTGACTTCTGCAGGCATTGCAAGACACAGGTACACTTAACATGTGTGCAAGCAAAACACTCATATACGGAAAATAAAATAAATAAATAAATATTAAAACTAAATTGGTATCATAAAGTACGCTGCAGAGAAAATTGATAAAAAATAGTTATTGGCTGACTGCCAGCAAAACTCCCCTGTAGAAACACAGCAACAAATCAGCTTATCAATTGCCTATTGTCAACTGCAATGCCCACCAAGTATCTAATGAAAAGAGAATATTGGAAAGGGCCTGCTGAATTCACTGACAGCTGATAGGTAGCTTTTTTAATAGTAAATAGCTTAACGGGTTAAAAAAAGTCATTTGCCTCCACAGAAGTGAAATGGTCAAATATAAATTCAGACTTTGATTTGATCCATTGTGCTGATGTATTCTAATATTGATAGTATTCGCAGCCCTCACAGGTTTGGGAGGTGCATATCGTGGCATTATCAGGGTTAGATTGAAAGCTGAAAATCTGACATGGAAATATATGAGAGGATTTAGAGGCCCCTATGAATGCTGAACCCTTAAATCTCATTGAATCTCTCTTGCCACCTTAAGAAATCTCTCGTACCTTGCCTGTTGAAGCTGTTCTTCCCTTGATTGAAGATATTTTTCACCTGAGGGTGATTTTTACCTCACAAGATGAAGCTGGTTCTCTTCATGTTCCCTTCCCCATCAGTTGTCAGATGTTAGAATGACCTCAAGGAGGTGACACTAACAAATTCATAAAGCCAGAGGAAGTCGAAAAATTTCTGGATTTCTACTTTACTTCGGAAACATCCTAGGAAATGAACATGGGGATGTAGTATAAGGATGCTTGATCAAGGCTGAGAAACACAATCTTAGATTGGTCTGGATCTAACACTTCAAGATTCATGGCAGATTGAGGAGTTATCCTGAATCCACTATGTGAGAAACGCAAATGCTTCCAGTGAGAAAAACTTCCAGAAGTGAATTTTTCTTGGAAAGAGAGAAGATCTGAGGCATGGATCCATACAATTTCATGAGTAGTGGTTGGGTCAGGAAAGTGGAAAGATGTAAGGAGCAATATTAAATGCTGGAGCAAGAAGGTTTTGAGAAAAATGTAAAGAGACTTTTCAGAAAACAAAAGTATTAACAGTCTCGTGAATGTATACTACACCATGCACACCATATGGAGTAGTCTTAGGTCTGTCTTATTTATTACTCTTATTAATTTCCAAAATAAATTACTATCTCTAAAAATGTTACATTGTGCTGGGCGTGGTAGTACACACCTTTAATCCCAGTACTCAGAAGGCCAAGGCAGGCAGCTCTCTGTGTTTGAGGCCAGCCTGGTCTACCTAGTGAGTTCTAGGCCAGCCAGGGCTATATATTGAGACCCTGTCTCAAACAACAACAACAACAACAACAACAACAATAACAGAAACAACAAATGTTACATCACATTTAAGCACACAAATATATCATAAATTCTTCCTACATAAATAGAAGCTAAAAATCCCCAAGATTGCATTGAAAGGGATGTATGTTCCCTGAACTTTAGAAATCAACAGTCCAAGGAATTTAGGTGTTCTACTGGGATATTGAATAGAGAATTCTATGGAATAGAATTCATGTATACACATTTTAGCTGCCCAATATTTGAGTTCCTAACTAGACTTGGGTAGCTTAGAACGATCTAGAAAGATAAAGGGTCATTATTCACAACAGGAAATGGAGGAAGGAAGGAAATGAGATAGAAGGCAGAACTACAAATATAAAACCCAGCACTCTGTGTTCTGGATTGTTTTACTATTGCAGATTAATAAAGATTTAGGAGGTCATTTATTAGTGAAGACTTATTTTTAAGAAAGGGACAAAGCCTTCCTTCTGAAATTTTACTATTTATTATTTTGTACTAGGAACTGAACCTTGTGCATAGCTAAGAAACACTCTACCACTGTACTACATCCATAGTCACAAACTCTTTCTCAGTATCCAGAAATCCCAATTATATGAGTTTTTAAATATGAGATTTGAAAGAAGGTAGCATATCATTTTCCCCTAGGAAGTCTAATAAACGTCTGCTCCTCATCGGAGTACTGACAGAGGAACTAAACTCACCTAAACAGATGTTCTCATTCAGGACTTTGCTCTTGATAATATAAGTAAAATGAAATGGGGAAATGAAATTATCAGCATAGTAAAAGCAATTGCTGCCTACCCCCCACTGGTATTCTAGAAGTTACCCATTCTTTATTTCTGCCTTTTTCTTCCTGAATCCCAGCCTTCTCAGTCTGAACACCAGTGACAGCTTCAACTGCTGGTATCTTTACCTATGAAAGTCCATTTGCATGGGCTACATCAATGAGCACTCACATCTTCAATCTTCTGGTTGGGACCAACCACTGGAGTTTCAGGAAAATGGAGAGAATGAAGATATATATTCTAAGTCATTGCTCCTCTACTACATTGGCATCCTGGTTTGGCTTTCTCTCAATGGAAATTCACTGTTCTTCTAGAGGTAGCCATCTCTATACAACTCTCTCTCCTTTTGAGTTCTAATAAACGTTCTATCCTTCATCTCTTTAGGTCACACAAATAGTAACAGCCCCCTGATGTTAGTCCTGAGTCCTTGCACCATGTTTTGCGTTTGTTCCAACCACCTCTAAAACGAGTTATTTGTAAATAAATTCATCTCAAATTATCTCAATAAGAGGTTGTCATCTGTTTTGGAAGCCTGACTGATAAGTATTCAAATGTATTTCTTTTCTGGTTAATGTGACAAACACAACAGGCTAGCATCCTAAGAAAAGTACCAAGAAGAAACAAAACCTCAGAATTGGGGCCCAAAATGACATTTTTAGTGAATGATAGAAAATGAGACTGAATACATCACAGGAGCTCTGTGGGGCAAAAGTCATCAGTGATCAGCAGGAAAGGTGAACAGGAGAAAGAAATTGGGTATGACTATGATAAAAGATTATCACATAGTTGAATAGAAGCATCATTTATGAAGCCTAAAACTTCATTGAATATATTCTAATAAAAAAGCCACCTACACAAAGGCCCAAATAAAAATAGCTTAAAGTACACTTAGAAAGTTTTAAAGCCTGATTCCCAGTCACAAAAGGCAATGACTAACAGTTGATATAAAAAGGAGCTTTTGTTCACAGGCACACAATTGCTGAACAGTTGGGCCATTCATTTTCAAGTGTCTGGCCACCATTAGGTCCTCCCTCACTCCCGATTCCTACAGTGCTTTTCACAATGTAAAATCCAAGTAGGTTCTTTCAGATGCCTCCTCCCCATTTTCTTTGCCGTCAAAGAGAAAAGCTGTTCCATGTTTGGAATGATGCAGCATGAAAATGCTATTAATCTGGCTCCATCTAGATGCACCAAGTCTAACTGCAGGGCTGCCTCCAGCTTAATAATGGGAATGTGTGCAAAGTCATGCAGTTTTAAAAACCAAGGCCAGGAGACACAAATAATGAGAATAAAAACTATACCAAAGTATGTGATATGTAAATAGCTTGCTGAAAGCCAGACACTGCAGGTTTTGTTCATACCCTTTCATTTAAACCACACAATCTTGCAAATTATAAGTTAGAATCCTGATTTAACAGACGAAGAAAAAGAGACAGTAGTAAATGACTTGCCCTGGTTACCAAGTTTGAAAGGAACAAAACCTGGATTTAAAGTCTTACTATTCCAGACCTGTTTTCTCAAGTGGGGAGAGGATTCCCCTGGGAATTCACAAGTCAGTCTCTCTTGGTAGAAGGCCACAAATAACAGAATTTTTAGTTATGTCTCCTTTCTATCTTACCGTCTCAACTATGCTATTCTATGGCCAGGCCTATAAATCCAAGCACTCAGGAGACAGAGACAGGAGAATCTCCATAAGTTCAAGTCCAGTCAAGGCACTACGCAGCAAGAACTTGTTGCAAGATGTACAAAAAACCTTTATTTTTCATGTACATCTTACAATGTCTATATTAGTTCAATTGTACAGAAATACAAACACTACTGTGTATGAGAGTAACATTCCCTAATTTATACCATTGTTCTGCACCGTCTTCTTCAGTCCCCCCCGCCCCCACCCTTAGTAGGTACAGTAGGTGCAGCAGCTTATAGCCTGATGTGCTGAGTATCTCCTCAGGAAAGCTGATCTTCATGAGCTCCATCAACGGGCTCTCTTGTTTTTTAGCTTTCGGTTCATTATAAATGAAGATGAGTAAAATGTTTGATGGCTGCTGCTCAGGACTTTTACAAGAGGCAGGAGTGTGCTCTTAGGAGAACAGTTTTGGGACCAGACTGTATATGTTCAACCTTCAGTCCTTATCTAGTTTTGGCTGAGAAATCATGGATAAGTTAATCTCTGTATGCCTCAGTTTTTTTTTTTTTTTTTTTTTTTACTGTAGCGTATGAATTTAAATAGTTACTGCATAGATGCTTAGAAAAATTTCTGGTGAAAAATAAGATAAAAGTAGCCATCTAGGATACTCTGCTTCGTTATCCAACTACTGACATAGATCCCACAAAGGTTTTTCTGAACTTGCATCCCGAGCTAGATCTTGAGCTATACAGGGCCATCATCACATCACGTTCTTTAACCACCTTCTTATTCATCAGCTTTGGTTTCTGCTCGATAATGTTTTATGTGCCCATCAAGTTACCCTTCAAACTATTCTTCAAAATAACTTTGTTTCTTAAATCAAATTAAAGTAAATCTAATTTCCCAAAACTTTGCTTAATGCGAAGTTTATGTGTTTTTTACCTCCCAGGCTCTTTGCTGTTGTTAATATATAGGAACATATCTCATGCTGGTATCTGGAAACAAAAAATCAACAAACATTCTTGGCAACTGCAGCTGAGAGACCTACTAAAAGACAGTAAATGTCTCATTTGGTTGGCTTGGCCATGCCTGGCAGAAAATAATGCTCAAGTTACTGCAAAAAAGTCACAATTAAACTATGGTGTAATGGAAGCAGTCCAATCATCAATGTCTAAAATAACTGCGACTGAATCATGGTCCAATAGTTGCTAATAGAATTGCGTACAGATTACTAACTCCTATAATGTGATATAATAATTCCTATAATTTATTTTTGGCACGCTTGAAGATCAAACCTGGGGCCTTGCACGTGCTAGGCAAGTGCTTTACCTTGACTACAGATTTGGGGGTGAGGTGTTTAGCAAAGTAGATACCCAGATAATGTAGATTCTTTTAGACCATTATTAGGACTTTGATTCCATTTTGAGTGAGCAAGGAAAGCTTTGGAAGATGTTGAGAAGAGGAAGTCATATGCCTTTGAGAAAACTGTTCTGCCTGATGTGGTGGAGCATGCCTGTAATCTCAACACTCAGAATTTTGAAGCAGGAGAACTGAGTATTTGAGACTAGTCTTTCTCAAAAACCAAAATAAATATAGCAAGACAAATAAAAACAAAAGGATTATTTTGACTGCTGGGTTGTGAACAGTATTAAAATGAAAATAAGAACATCAAGAAATGAAAGCCTGTGCCAAATAAAAATTGTTTAAAAAGTCATAGAAATGTTGATTATTTATTATTATTATTAGTGTGTGTGTATGTGTGTATGTCTGTGTGTGTGTGCGTGCATGCGCACATGCTCACATGTGAGTAGATATGGATGCATGTGTGCCATAGCATGCACATAGAGGTCAAAGGACAACTTTCAAGAGTTGATTCTCTCTTATTATCATGGGTTTCTGGGATCAAACTCAGGGTGTCATGCTTCCTCATCACGTAATTTTACTCACTAAGCC